CGCCGCCCCGCCGCCCCCGGAATCGCCAGTTCCAGAGAGCACGATTAGAAAAGTCCTGACCCAAGATTTTGTTTACATTTATTTTATTAAGGCAACTCTTGTGTTTAGTTAAGCAAAATGTTCTGTCTCCATTCAAGACATTAGTATACATAATAAATAAAAATATTTACGCTTGCTATGTAGTATCTAGCAGGAAAAAAAAAAGAAAAACCTCAGCTTCACTAATATTTCCCCATAATTGAGGCCCAAAGACATGGGAGCCCCATTGAGAAGTATTCTCTTTCACCACAGACTAGGAACGGGAACCTGAGTTATGGATTTTCTAGATGCTCGTGCCTGTTGGAGAAATAAATTGGTATATGATCTTTAGAGCATAAAAGGACGTGCAGTCTTGTAACATAAAGATCTGATGGAAGGTGGTTTTGCTTGGTCTAGAATATCCTGTTACATGTTCCATTGTCTTTATTACGTGTTCCACACAGTTTTCAATGAGCCCAGCCACGGACGGCTAATTTGTGTCAAGAGAGCCGCCACACTCACTGGACATGGGCACCAAGAATCAGTCACAGCTCCTTCTAAGCAGCCCTTCTCAAATCTACACACCAGGCAGCAGTGCTCAATTGAACTGAAGGTGGGACTTGGAAAATAGAAGGAAGCAGATCATTTGAAATATATTTACCTCTAATTCTTCAGTGTAATACGTGATGCTGTTGAGCTGTAGACCTGACATTACTTTCTACTTCAGTTATATTTAGGCTGATATAAAAGTGAACGTGAAGAAGTCCTTGAGAACTAGTCAACATACAAATCTGCATCCCAAGAGCTGACATGTCAGAGGAAGCCAGCTCCAGATAGCCTGCCTGATGAAGCCAGTCTGGGCTTAATCAGTTGACCACACCAATCCACTGAATGCATAGCAATAATAAGTATGGGATTTTATCTTGGACCTTAAAATCCTAATGCTCTCAACTCTGAAGTATTTGTCTTTGAGAAACATGGTACCTCCATGTCATTCCCATGACTCTCCCATTTTTGAGTGAACCTCCCAGACTTTCAAACAAGCCATAGCAGAGGAAACTCTGCTTGGGTGTGGCCGGCCTTCTGTTGCTATGGCAATGGCCAAGTCCGCACAATTTGGCAACCACTTTGTGAGAGCAAGCAAACAACAGCCACATAGCGAAGTCAGTTCCAGGCACCAGGAACTTTCGATGGAGTGCATTTTGCAGTGGCTTTGGTGACAACAGGAAGATGAGGAATCCTCAGTCGACTACTATGACAGCCATAGAAAAGAACCTTCCCCATCTTCTCATTCATCAAAACAGAGATTCTCATGTCCTCAAAAGTGGTGGGATTGGGGGTGAGGGAGAGGAAGGAGAAGTCAGGAAAGAAATCATTTGGGCAAAAATAGAAGAGGATCAGAAAAGATGAAATCTGTGAAAACACACTGATTTCTATCCATGAAAACATGTTAAAAACCTAGAATGTTGTAGAAAGAAATATGCTAAAATAGTAAAGTCTTTATCTTTGTCGGGAACATTACAGATAATATTTTTAGTTTTCTTTTGTGCTTTTCTAGTTCTTTCCTACACTGGGACATTTCCTACACTGGGACAATATTTTTAGAATTATAAAAAAATATATTTTTTAAAAAAATTAAAGAGATACTTGCTAATTACAACAGCTTCACTATCCCACATACACGGTATGCAACACAGTAACTCCAAAGACGTGTTTCTGAAATGCTTCCTATAAATCCAATCCTTAAAAATGAACTCATATTTAAAATTCATCCAGATTTCAGGCTATGAATCCAGTGACAGAAATTTACAGCCTGGGCCCCACGCTGGACCCTAAAAGGCTCTTTTTCTTCCATTGGGTACAAAGTAGCCAGGTGAGCAGGGAACAGGCACCATCTCTGGGACCCTCACTGGACAGGACCCCCGAGAGTGGCGTCTGCTTCTACATGTACCTGAGGATCTGTCCCCACAGATGGCACAGATGTGTTTCACCAGAGATCCGGGGCTGGTTGATGGGTAGTTCATGCTTCCAATCCCAGGAAGCCCTGGTAAGGGCTTGATGTCCTCTGAAATGCTGACACTGTTGACCTCATTTAGCTGCAAGGGAAAACAATACAAGTAAACATGGAACCAGGGTAGACCCAACGCCTGAGATGGAAAGCAATAGGAGTATCCTCGCGAAAAAAAAAAAAAAAATTCTATTTCAAGAAATAGTTTCTAAGTATGGAGTATCCAAAACTGCCTGTTGGGGGATATGAATTTAAGGGAAGGAAAAAAGTGACACAGAGGAACTAAATCATTTCTAGACACCAACACCTAAGTCAAACATCACAACACATTATCAGAATTACTATTTTACTCATGTGTTTCATTAGAGCTGGAAATCCACCCTGGACACACTTAAGACCCACTTAGGACAAGTCAGTTGTATGTTTCTAGATTTTGTAATAACGACTGACTGTCTATTCAGCAGTGCTCCAAGAGGAGCTACGGCTCTTAGGCAAAAGACTTAGACTCCAAGAGAGCCAAGCAAAAGAATGCAAATCCATTCACTGAGTCAATCAACAGACACTCACTGAGTGCTCACCCTGCAGGCACTGTGCCAGGCTCTGGGGTACAAAGGTGAGGTCTAAAAATGCACTCTTAAGGAGTTCACAGTAAAATGGAAGAGAAGGTCATGTCAACAAGCCCACAGAGGATGCTAAACCAAATGCCCAAATCATTGCAGTAGCACCAAAGTTGGGTAGAAAGTCCCAGATCATGGTTTTGAACTTGACCGTAAGGAACGGGCCATCTTCCTGTGAAACTGGAAAACCCATACAGCCGGGGACTGTCTGCTTTGTCTTCCCCATGTCCGACGTGGTCCCGGCACGAGGTAGGGAGTTTGTGTGCCCGAATGGCTGAAGAAATGAACGTGTGCATCCCTGTCCTCAGTCCTGTCCCAAGGTCACATTGGCTTCTCACCACCACCACCTCCATGTCTCCCAGGGCTCGGGGAGATTACCGAGAAGCCGCTGCTTAGTGCTCTGTATTCATCAAAGAAATCGTCAATACATATGACTACGTCGTCCAATTAGCAGAAATTGTGAGTGCCCATGGGCACAGCTCAACCTTCTAGGCACTGTGAAGGGAGACAGAAAACCTAGAAGATCTCTCTTTCCTCAAAAATGCACACTCTCATTGAAGAGTGGGGACGTGCACAAAAATTAAGAACATTTACAAGTAAACTCACAGCTGGTGCAGAGTATGCATGTGTTTAAGTGTCCAGCAGAGGCACCTGGGAACTCTCTGGGAATTTAAGAGAGTTTCCACTGACTTCTATAGGGTCTATGTGAATTTCGAATCATACTGTCTCCCCAGAGTGACAGCAATTCTCAAACTAAACCAAAGGTAGGATTTGTTTCTCCATTCAAGGCCTTTGGGACAGAAGGAATGATCAATAAAGCATAAGACACAACATAGCCTGAGTTAGGTTCCTTCTAAATTTACCAGCTTTTCAATTCACTAAGCAAATATTTATTGGGCACAGGAGGTGGGCAGAGGCTCGGGTCAAGGGCAGTAAGGGATGCAGAAAAGACCAGACAGCCTGCAGCTCCTTGCTTTGAAGTCCAAGTCACCAGGAATTTTTAAAAATTAATTTGTACGAAGGATGAAAACACACATGCGATGGGAGAAGCTCTCTCTCTTCCTCGCCCACTTTTTACACAAGGCTAAGACAAGACACCTAGAACTTGTGCCCAGTATTTTGCTTTGTTTCAGTGTCGCACCATGGTCCTCAGCCCTGGATGTACACCTGGGAGCTTTAGGGGGAAAAAAACAAAAAACAAACGGATGCCAGGGCTCCACATCCAGAAACTGAGTCAATAGGTCTGAGGGCCATTGGTACTGCTATTTCTCTAGATTTACCAGGGAATGCTAATATGCAGCCAGGGCTAAGAATCACCAGGTTGGCAGGAAAAACATCGCTTTGGAGTCCCATGGAGCTAGGACCGACTCCCAGTCTGCCCTTACCAACGGCATGACTTAAAAGAAGTTACTTATCTTCATCCACCCTCAGTTTCTTGTAAAATGAGCCTAGTAAGACCTAGTATACAGAGTCACTGGGAGGATTAGATGACAGAACGCTGGAAAATCCCCACCACAGTGCCCGGCACACGGTAGTGGTTCCGTAAATTCTGGCTCTTATCATTCCAATAAAATCTGGTTAATCAAGACACGACTTTTGAGTGTTTCTTATCAGCCAACACTCTACTCTGTTCTAGGAATTCTGCAGTAAATGAGCCCACATTCACCAAAGGGGTTAAATGATTCCATTTCTTGGCGGGGGGTGGGGGGGTCAGAAAACGAATGTTGTCATGATATTAGGTTATCATTACTTCAGATGTGGGACATATTTAGATGTGTACTGATTTTTCAGAAATAGGCTGAGGGGGTTTCTGTTGGTGTAAATTTTAGGTGACAACTTTTCTCGAGCGCCTTGGTGAAACACATGTCACCACTTAGATCCTCCCAAAAGGGAAACATTTTAGGTCAGATGACCCCGGAGAAAGAACCCTCTGGCTGACCAAGGCTCTGTCCCCCAAATCCTCAGACCGACAAAAAAGGATATGGGCATAAGGAGGAGGCCCCCACTCCCCTTCCCCTCCCACTGCCAGGTCCCGTGGGGTCAGTTCGCCACCAGCAGCCTGGGGAGGTCACAGGAGGCAAGTACTGTTAATGCTGGTAGCAACACCCTCTGTAGAAGGCTTGCGTGGCGCTCACAACAACCCCATGAGGTCATTCTAGTTTCCAGATGAGGGAACTGGACCTTAGAGTGGTTTATTCGTGTGTTCCCTCAGAAATACTATGGCGATGCAGAAAGGAGGAAGACAGCAGCTACTGCCTCAATGCGACTGGCCATTGATGAGGTTAGAAGTCAGCGGGGATTGTTTAGGAAGGAAAGGCCCCAAACAACTGAGATTAGACTAGAAGGAAGACTACTTGAAGAAGGTGGCATCTGAGCCAGGGCTTCATAGCCTTCAAAAGTGGGTAAGACTCGGATGGGCTGGTGATGGGCTAAGGGCTCAGAGAGCAAAGGTCCCTGAGGGAAGCCCGGGGGCTCGTGTAGGGTGTGGATGGGTGGGAGGCGCCTCATAAGGAGAGTGGACTGAATCTTGAGAAGCAATTAAGAGCAGCCACTGGAGGTTTTCGGCTGAGGAATACTGCTCTGCCTCAGGGAAGGAAATGAGGCAGCCGCTCGAGGAAAACCTGGAGGGAGACACTGAGGCTGTCGATCTGCCCAGTCGCAGGTTAGGTGCCTTCCCAGGCTAACAGGCTGGAGGTAGGCCACTGGGCTCCCAGCTCATTCCTCCTTTACCACAAGACCTGTCTTGCGTGGCAGGAGACGCTCAAGACCCCCTGCCCTAGTAGCTTCCTGGCCCACCCCCGTGGTGAGGAGCCCACTCTCTCCCAGGTGGGAGCCAGGAGCCCCCCTCCACCCCTTCTCCTCATGGGTCAGGGGCAGCAGCAGGATGGAAGGGCTGGGACAGAAGGGTTGATACTCCCTTCTCCATTGGCCTCTTTGCTGGCTTGGGGTTTGCGTGGGCTCCGGGCAAAGACAGATGGGATAGAAGGAAGCTGCCAGGGTGCAAACCCATTAGCTGCGTGGCCTGGAGTCCCCTTGGCTGGCTGTCTTGTTCCATTAGAAGCGGCTCTGCAGAAGTGAGCACTTTCAGAGTGGGGATTCACCAGGCGGCTGGCCACTCTCTGAGAACAGGGCGAAAACACACTTGACTGGCCCGGCTTCCATTTGCAGCCTCTCAGCCAGGGACCAAACGCTTCCTGGATGCCCTGGAGCCATCATGGAACATCAAGTCCCGCATTTCTGAGCTGCTTTCAGCCAAAATTATTCCACTAAATGCAGACATGTGGCCCGCCTGCCAGGCCTCAGGCAGGCACTCCTTTTCCAGGGAGTGGACTCTGTAGAGTGGGGCTCCTTTAATCCAGTGAGGGTCCTTGTCGTGAGCAGTAAGGAGCCTAGACCTCCCAACCGGGGAGAGAGAAGCCCCAGGTTCTGGTGGACCTGCCGCTGCCTCACCATGTGATCTTGACCAGGTTACTGCATCAGAGACTCGGTTTCCTCGTCTACAGGCTCGATCAGTGATTCTTCCAACTCAGGGTGTGCGTGTGGCTGGGCGGTGGGAAGGGCGACCAAGAAGCCTTCGGATCTCCTGCCCCGAGTTCACCCAGACCTGTTTGTATTGGCCACGCTCATCAGCCTTCCAAACATGCTTTCTCTTGGAGAAAAGACTTTACGGCTTAACTTTTTAAAATCATTAAACAAGATGATCTTTAAGGTCTGTTCCAGCTCTAACACTTGTAACTTTTATTTAGTATTCTCTATAAAAATCTGCAAGGATAGTAATTTGGTTATCAATCACTACCTGGGCAGGAATTATCAGGGACAGAACCCAGGTCAGGCAGCTGGGTTCAGGAGGGGAGAAAGAGGTGGGGGCATTCCAAGGACACGCACGGCTTGCTTCCGAGTCCAGACAACAGGCATCACACACACAACACACACACACAACACACACACACAGTCATGAAAATGGGGTCTAGACACTTTTGTCTGAAAGCCCCATATATATCTTCCCAGTTATATATTTGGTGTTTCTGGAAATTGCTCCCTCCACTTAGATACTCCCCAGAGCAGAGACTGATTCTTACAATTTTTTTTTTTATCTCCAGTGCCTGGTTCAATGAATGCTTATTGAAATGAACTTCTCTCGAGCCTCTCAGCAAGAGTGCACCAGAATCAACAAGCACATGGGGGTAGAGTATAAATCACCAAGGTGCGTATTATCACCTAGGTATAATAATAATAATATCACTACCTTACTGCCATAGAGTGCTTAAGAAGTGATTTTTCAAATCCAGAGCTCCTTTAATATCCATAAATATCACAGTAGGGTAGCCAGGGAAAAGTGTGTTACCCCAAAATAGAGAAAAGGGAACTGAGATACATGTAAGCCTCTCAGTGGTTTGCAAAAGGTTACAGAGTACCCCCCACCTCCATAGTATTGGGTTCAGTTCTCTTTACTCCTCAAGAATGAAAATCCAACAAGAGCAAAAAAGAGAGAAGCTCAAACACCAGAATGACAAGAGCAGGGAACGGGAGACAGAGCCCGCTGCTCCCACACCACAGCTCCCCCTTCCCCTCACCCCGAAACTGTACTTACCCTAGACCCGGGTCACAGGAGGAGCATGTTTCCAGCACGAGTTCCCCTCTGACCCATCCTGGGCGAGGAAGACGGGATGCATAGAGACCTTCTATCCAGATGGTTCAGAGCCCAGCTCACCGCAGCTAACACCTAGGGTCCTAGATGCCCTGTGTCATCTGGTTAATTGGGCAAAATGTTTCTGCCGGGTGGTTCCAGAGCCCGAGCCCACAACACTGCTCAGTGTCCGGGGCTGCTGAGCTTCCCCAGAGCTTGGCAAGCTTAATATAGCTCCCAGAGTGAAACTTGGCCTCGGCCTCTGCACACAGCCCAGTTGGCCAGAACCAAAGCTTTCAGCTGACCTTTCAACCCCAATCCCTCTGTACAGACATATGGTCCAGGAATAGCGGCCTGCCACTCGCACAGCTAGGAAGCTGAATTTATTGGCTAGGTTTGGCTCAATCAGACCGGAGCATGGCTGCTAAAAGCAGCCTTGAAGGATGGTGCCTTGCCCACTCCCCACCCACAAGCCCTGTCACTGTCTATCACCTCACCCTGTCTTATTGCTTCATAGATAGAACGATTGCTGTTTGAACCATCTCATTCCTTCCTTTGCTGTTCGTCCGTCTTGCCTGCGGCAGGGTCACTGCCATGGAAATAAAGACTTCAGCCACCTTACTCAGTGCTTATCCCTAGAACCTAGGACAGCGGCAAGTTCCACTAGATACATAGCAGGTCCTCCTAAATAGTTAATATGAGTGAACATGAGCGCCCTTGCAAGAGTTTACTTTCAGCTCAGAACTTCAACGTTTCCTTCTGTCCCTAGCCCACGGGCTATGACCTGCCTTCCTGGAGTCCATTCACACGAAAGAACAAGGATAAACAAACCTCTTCAGGGTCTCACATTTTGAAGAGTACATGTCACCAGCCCTGCTGATTACAGTAGGTGAGAGTGGTATAAATACGTGGCCATCCCCGTGGCTGTCTGGTCCCCACTCCTTTGAGTGGTCACACACTCTCATGGAACACACATGTGGGATGTTCAGAGGTCCCTTTGTTCTGCTCCCTTCAGTTCTGCCCTCGTGCCTACCACAGCCCCCACACGCTGCCTTGCAATTTACCTGCATGATGTGCCACGCCCCCTGAGAGACTCCTTAGGAGCCCCGATTAGTCATCTTTAATCCTTGGCAGCCAGCCGAAGATCTTGGGGTCATGGACTGAGTCGGCACACACCATGGCAGCAGGTGAATGCAGCGTCATGAACATAGAGTGGGGGTCAGGACGCCTGGGCTCGAACCCTGGCTCTGCTGCCAATTGGCTGTGTGCGGTGGGACATGTCACTTGAGTCCCCGAGCCCTGCTACTTTACTCCGTGGGATGAGGACGATGTAGACAGTAGCGGTTCTCCGGTGGGCTTTTACCAGCTTCACAAGGGCCACAATATGGGATAGGGGAGAAATGTATACTCTGAAGATCCTACGAGTGAAATCATCAGATTACAAACTGGGGTTAAAAGGGCCGGCCCAATGTGACCCAACTGCTTGACATGCACATGCTTCAAATCTTTATATTTGAATGCCTTCAAGGGAAGGGGGCAGCTCCCTGCAGACGCCACCAGCCCTGCTGATATATGTCCACCTCACTCATCCACCTCTGCTGCCTGCCTGGCCCCGGCTTCCACAGTCCCACCCTCGATGACCGCCCCCAAGGTCTTCTCCAGATTCTCGGATCCCTCATTCGATAGATTTCTGAATCCCTTACTGGCTCTAAAGTTCTGTGACTCCACATGGCTTTGCTTTCAGACCCTGTGCACAGGAAGCCTCTTGAAAGGGATGGTCTAGGGATGGTCTCAAAAATCCTCCCTGTAGTAGGAAGAAATATTGACACAACGGGAGTCCTGGCTCTTCTCCAAAACTATAAATTCCAAGGAAACTTCAGAATCTACTAATTCTGCCTCCAGATGTGCTGACAGTTGGGGCAGGATGGTGTTGGCCCAAAAATGAGATGCCCATAAGTGAGAGAGGAGAATGTGGTAGATGGTATTACTGTTCCTAATTTTTCACAACCTTTGCATTGTGTCTCCATAATACTTCCCACTAAAACAGGCACTGCCTATTTCTCTGCCCTGCCCATGTTGGGGTGAGCCATACTGCTTGCTGAGGCTGATGGGATACTGGTGGGCATGACGCCAGCAGAGGCTTCACTGTACCCTACTGATTTGGTTTTGATTTTGCCCTCCTGCGTGACACCACGAGGAAAGCGCGCCCGGAGTAGCTGTTGCTCCTTTCGTGTGGGACTCGAGGGGCAGCCCTGCACCCAGCCTGCAGCCTCGCCCAGCTCCCCCACCATCTGAAGCGGAGCCATTCCTGCCAACACAAATTTGCGAGCGAGGGGGAAAAAATGTGTGTTTTTGTAGACCACGACAACTTGGGGATTGTTACACAGCATCATTACATCAAGAGCTGACCACCACAGGAAAGGAAGGTGGACGGCCTCACTGCGACATTGCCAGGGGAAGCAAAAGGCAACCGGCCACCCGAGGGCTCCTCAGAGTGGGAATGCAGTGTCCCCCATGCACACACCTCCTCCCTCCCCTCTGTGTGCAGCAGGCGCACCAGGAATTAGGGGAGGATCCCTTCCTGAGTTTCCATTCTTTCCCTCTATCTCAGAGACAACGGGCCATGTTCTAGATCGATCCATGTGCCACACCTGCCCATTTCCCCCCTCTGCGATAAGCTCCTGGAGAGCAGAGACTGCGTTCTGATCATTTCCGCATCGCCCTCAGCATGTAGTAGAGCAGCAGGCACTTCACTGACTTGATAAACACTCATTATAGAATCGAGAACAGAGGGGGGGTCTGTCCCCAGGATGACAAACAGCCCTCAGAAACAGTGAAATCACTGCCAGGGCGGAACCACACTAAACCATAGGGGTGGCCTCTGGGCCACAGTCTCCTGGCCCATGAGGCCTGGTCGGTTCTCTGGGGCTGCCGGGCCTGCGCACACACTTAACGAACGCCCTGCAGGGGGCACGTCCCCTCAGCAGGTTCAAGTGAAGCACCTGCCGAGTGCTGGCTCGGCTCCAGGAACAGCCTGGGAAAACCTGTGCAAGATGGCCGGGAAGTCCCGCGAGAGAAGGGCACCTACCTGGGGAGCTGGGCGGGACGACCAGATGGAAGTCTCGCGAGAGGAAGGGCACCTACCTGGGAGCTGG